CACTATTTACGTTGTAAGGATACTGCCTTATTTATTCACAAGCCACCTGTTTCACTTTTTACGTTGTAAGGATACTGTCTTATTTATTCATGCGCCACCTTTTTCACTATTTACGTTGTAAGGATACAACCTTATTTATTCATAAGCCGCCTTCTTACTATTTACGTTGTAAGGATATTGCCATATTTATTCATAAGCCACCTTTTAAACTATTTACGTTGTAAGGATACTGCCTTATTTATTCACAAGCCACATTTTTCACTTTTTACGTTGTAAGGATACTGCCTTATTTATTCATACGCCACCTTTTTCACTATTTACGTTGTAAGGATACTGCCTTATTTATTCATAAGCCGCCTTCTTACTATTTACGTTGTAAGATATTGCCATATTTATTCATAAGCCACCTTTTAAACTATTTACGTTGTAAGGATACTGCCTTATTAATTCATAAGCTACAATTTTCACTATTCGCGTTGTTAGGATACTGCTTTATTTATTCATACGCCACCTTTTTTACTTTTTACGTTGTAAGGGTATGGCCTCGTTTATTCAGAAGCCATATTTCCCACTATTCGCGATGTTAGGAAACTGCTTTATTTATTCATAAGACACATTTTTCACTATTTGCTTTGTAAGAATATTCTTTCATTGACGTATATGTCATAATGTAGTGATTGATTGATTGTTGGTTGGTTGCTTAACGTCCAGTGGCAAATATTTCATGCATGTTCAGGACAAGAGCAAATTAACAATACATACAATAGGTAGGTCATGTAATAGAGGCCAGTCGGGATGAAGGTCGGGAAATTTAGACTACCACTGAAAAATGAGGGTAAATTGGATAGGAAAAGAAATTTAGCCTTTCAACAGGCCACCTACGGACCCCTCAAAGAGTTGTTGCAAGAGTTCTTAACGTGCTGAGAGCGTGGCACTCTCTTTACACGAAACATCGGATTTAACGTCCCCATTCTGACCGGACGTGGCTGCGTACTTGATACATCCCGCACAGCCGAACGGACGCCCCACTTTGGCAAGGGCTTTACTGCCGGTCGGAAGAAGACCTGTAGTGACCATACTCCTATTCATTACATTACTTGTGTAAAACAATTCAAGCAGGAAAACCAACGGTCTAATCTATATATTGTTTGTTTTATTATTGATGTCGTCAGTGTATTGTGTTATTGACGTATATGACAAATGCGCTCTTTTAAGATATTTATAGTTTTGGTATGTTTTCCCTGACGTAAATGTCACATCTCTTTTGTATTCGCGTCGTAAGGGTTGTCTTTCTGAGGAATATGCCGTTTACATTATTTGCGTTGTTATGATACTGCCTCGATGACATATAAGACTTCTTCACACTTTGCTGTGTAAGGGTACTCTCTCATTGACGTAGATGCCACATCTTTTGTTTTATCATGGACGTTGTATGACACATTTTTTCATTATGTGTTTCGTTGGAGTTCTGTTTCCTTGTCAAATATGCCACATCTTTGATTATTATTTTTGTCCTACTTTACTGTATCCTCGACGGATATGAACATATTTATTAAACACCTATATGCCACAACATTGTTTTTATTATTTGTGTCGTTTGAGTCTTATAGAAGTAAATGCCACACCATTTTACTGTTATTGGAGTTATGTCTGATTTTCGTTAATGCCACATTATTTAACTACTTGCGTCGTTAGTGTACTTTCACGTTGGCGAAAATGCCACAGCTTTTTACTATTAGTGTCGTTTGTTTACTGTCTCATTAACGTATGTGACACAATTTTTTTTCAAATTATTTGTTTCATTGGAGTTCCGTCTTACTGCGTATATGCAACCTCTTTTTATTATTTTTTTGGTTGGGGTACTCTTTCTCTAGCGCCCCCAAGGGTGACTGGGGAATAGAAGTATGGTCACCATTGGTCATCCTCCGACCGGCAGTAATACCCTTGCTAAAGTGGGGCGTCCGTTTGGCTGTGCGGGATGTACAAATTTGCAGCCACGTCCGGTCAGAATGGGGACGTTAAATCTCGTGTAAAGAGAGTGCCACGCTCTTTGCACGTTAAGAACCCTTGAAACAACTCTTTGAGGGGTCCGTAGGTGACCTGTTGTAAGGCTAAATTTCTGTCTTTATCCAATATACCCTCATTTCCCGTGGCAGTCTAAATTTCTTCGACCGTAATCCCGAAAGCCCCTATTACAGAACCTACCTATTGTATTCATTGTTAATTTGTTCTCGTCCTGAATATGCATGAAATATTTGCCACTGGATGTTAAGCAACCAACAATCAATCAATCAATCTTTCTCTAGCGTATATGCAATATTTGCTTCTCTTGTCTCATTCACTGTTTTGCTTTGTGATGATTCTGTCTTGTTGATGTACAACTTGTTCCACTATTTTTTATGTACAGATACTTTTTTATTGACGAAAATGACACAAGTTTTTTTTATTATTTGGGATGTTGGAGTATTATGTCATTAGGGTTTATGCGACATATTTATATAATTTGTTTCGCCGGATACTTTCTCGTTAACGTCTATATCACATATATTTTTTAGTATTGTCGCTATAGTACTGTTTCTTCGACATATTTGACACATTTTAATTTGTTATTTGTGTCGTTGGAGTCCGGTCTCATTGACGTATATGTCCTTTTTTTTTTCGTCGATGGAGTAGTTTCACTGAATAACATTCTACACTTTGTTTCAGTTATTTGTGTCGTTTGAGTTTTGATTCATTGACGTATATATATATTTACAGATCTATTATTGTTGGGCTGTTATGTAGACGAGTTACATATACAGAATGTGTTTCAGCCTTGTATCACCATCACTGGTGATCCGATGGATAAAATCTGACGTAGAGTTATCACTGGATCAGACATACTTATATATATATTCGAAGGAAGAGTGGGGAATAGAAATATGGACAGTACATGTTTCTTCTGACCGGCAGAAAAATACCTTGCCACAGTGGGGCGTCGTTTAGCTGTGCGGGATGACAAGTACGCAGCCACGTCCGGTCAGAATGGGGACGTTAAATGTGATGCCTCATGTCGAGAGAGCAGCATGCTCTCTGCACGTTAAGAACCCTTGCAACATTTCTTTGAGCGGTCCGTAGGTGGCTTGTTGCAAGGCAAAATATCTGTCCCTATTCACCCTCATTTTTCAGTGGCAGTCAATATATCCCGACTTCATAGATGCCAATCCCATTGAGTGCAATCAGTAAAAAGATATTCACATTTCCGTAATTTGTGTTTTTTTCAGTAATATTAACGTAAAATTTTATAATAATCATATGAACAACTGGGCACACAGTGATATGATTGATTATTGATCGCTAAACGTCCAGTGGCATACATTTCATGTATATTCAGGAAGAGAACAAATTAACAGTAAATTCAAAATGTAGGTCCTTTAATAGAGGTTGTCCGGGATGAGGGTCGGGAAAATTTACACTGCCACTGAAAAATGAGGGTATATGGGATATGGGACAGACATTTCGCATTGCAACAGGCCACCTACGGTCCTATCAAAGAGTTGTTTCAACGGTTCTTATCGTAGTGTGTGTAGCACTCTTTTTTCAAGAGGTATTTGAATTAACGTCCCCATTCCGACCGGACGTGGCTGCGTACTTGTACATCCACCACAGCCAAACGGACACCCAATTTGGCAAAAGTAGTACAGCCTAATGGAAGAAAACCTGTAGTGACCATATTTATATTCCTTAGTCACCCTTTTAGGTGTCATTCAGTGACAAAACGATGTCAGTTATTTATCAGATCTACGATTCGAAGTTGATTAGCAAATGACCATCGCGTTAAATGGAAATATTTTTCATAATATATACAAAAGGCATAATGGTCCGGCTTTCTAGTTTTCTTTCTTTGTTTCAGAAATTTAAATTGTTACACCAGACATTGTAAAATTAAAAACAATGACTTGTTTCGTTCATTAATTATTCAATATTAGAGGATCGTTTTTTACTGGTAGTCCCGATTGATTGTTGGTTGCTTAATGCCCAATGGCAAATATTTCATGCTTGTTCAAAACGAGAAGTTAACCATTACTTCAATAGATAGGTATTACAATAGAGGCTGTCCGGGATGAAGGTCGGGACAATTTAGAATACCGCGGGAAAATGAGGGTATATTGAAGAGGGACAGAAATTTAGCATTGCAAAAGGCCACCTACGAACCCCTCAAAGAGTTGTTGCAAGGGTTCTTAACGTTCAAAGAGCGTTGCACTCTCTCTACAAGAGGCATCGGATTTAACGTCTTCATTCTGTCTGGACGTGGCTGCGTACTTGATACGTCCCTCTCAGCCAAACGGACATCACATCTTTCTTTAGTACTTGTGTCGTTAAGGTTGCATCTCTTATGCCATACTTTTTTCATTATATGAGTCGTAAGTCTCATTGACGTTTTTTCCGCATCTTCTTTTTTTTCGTTTGAGTACTGTGTCCTTGGCGAATATGACACACCTTTTATGTTTCTTTGTGTCGTTTAGTTACTGTCTCATTCACACATGTCACATCTTTTGTTTTATGTCCTTGGAGAAATGCATAATGACGTAGATTTTTTTAATATAATTAGTGCCGTTAGGGTACTTTCTCATTGACGTATATTTTCACATCTTTCATTTCGTTTACGTATGGTGTCATTGATGTATACCCCTTGGGCTTTCTTACCCTGACCTTCATTTTCGTTAGGACGTGAAATATTAATGGTTGGTTCAATAACGTCCATTGGTAAATATTAATTGTACAGTGGCAAAACTCTCCTTCATATTAAGGACCATACGAATAAGAAATTGATGTAATACGTATATTAAAGTCTACTGGAACGGACTGGAGGTGGGGTGGGGTTGTTGTTGATCTTATTTAGGCTATAAACTGGAGAATGGAAGTGATACATGAAAATTTTAAAGTTGTTCTATTTGCTAAACATCCGTATAGAATCTTTTTATTTCGAGGACAGAATAAAATGTAGAAAATACATATGATTAAAATTTAAATAATAATCTTTATTGCAAAAATCAAACCCCGACGGGATAAAATGCGAACATTGTATGTTCACAAGAAGCATACAACACATAAAAAAGTTCTAAACGAGTCAAGTTAATAGTATGTACATGAAACTACTTTTGTCGGTTTCCAAAAGCTGCTCTGAAATATATTGTGAGTTTTCACCAACCATCACAACCTAACCGTCAAATAGAAGTAAAGAAAGAACAACAATTTTTGGGTCTAAGCAAAATTTCTCTACCATTTCATAAACATAATTGTTTTGTTGTCGTACATACAATTTAAGCGGTGATAATATAACGCATACACATAAAAATATACTTAAATAAAATCGGAATACGGAATAACTTATAAGAAAGCAAGATAGTAATTTTGTAAAATGAATCATAATTGGTTAAATTGAATTTGTATTTGGTAGATAGCACACAAACAAATAAAATCCATTTAGAATGACTCAATGCAAAAACACATCCGAATTCGAATGAAATAATTTAAGTTCATTTATGCAAGTTTCTTTATCACGTAAAAAAAAAAAGATTTCCGTTATCTCTATTACAAACAAGCAGAATATTTTCTTGCATGATAAAATTAATTCCAAACGGCGAATTCAATACATTTGATTAAGTAAGATTTTTTTATCTAGATGAAAACGCCTGATAACATTTTTCTGGATAACATCCTTCTCATAAAAGTGTGAATTATATATAAAAGATAAAGAGCATGTACATTTATGACATTGTTTATTACTCGGAATTTTTTTTTGATTTTCCATATTGAATTATATAGAACAATTGAATGTTCACATGTTTTAAAAATGCAGAAAACATAATATTCGAACCACATTATTCAAATACAACAGCCTAGATGATCCAAGTTACATTTTCAAAATTAATCATAATCTTTCCGTAATTTTGTTTTCAATGGAAATTTAACTTGATGTAGGATACACAGTTATTGGAACACAGTCATATCAGTCTGTATGGTGTTAGACCATATGTTATTTGTACTCGATTAACATCAATTTAAACCAAAAAAAAACTGTCATCAAATTAAGAAATAAACACATTGATAAACTTAAAAAATGTGATATAGTTTGGTATGAATAAAATAATTAATTGGTTTATCTGTTGGTTGTGTATCGTACAGTGGCAAATATATTATACATGTTCAGGATGAGAACAAATAAACGATGTATATATCTGAATTAATTGTATTTAAAATGTACATGTAAGACTACCGGGTTAAAAAAAGCAGATGGATTGGCAAATGAAGGAAAAAGACAGCATCCCAACGAAAAAATACAATTTTAAATTTGTAAAGATTATATTTACAACCTACACATCCGTAAAGAGAATGTCTGTATTTCCAACAACAAAAATAACTACGAATTTCCTCTTAAACAATTTATATGCGGTTTTGAAAGATGTGATGATATATAACTTGCATTATAATTTTTTTCTCCAACTATCAAACCCTAAATTGACGTGAATCAAAGAACAACATGTCTTTGTAACATTTCTCTAAATTTCAATATAAAGTTGATGTGTTGTCACAACATGTCTTTGTAACATTTCTCTAAATTTCAATATAAAGTTGATGTGTTGTCACAACATGTCTTTGTAACATTTCTCTAAATTTCAATATAAAGTTGATGTGTTGTCACAACATGTCTTTGTAACATTTCTCCAAATTTCAATATAAAGTTGATGTGTTGTCACAACATGTCTTTGTAACATTTCTCTAAATTTCAATTTAAAGTTGATGTGTTGTCACACATTTAAATAAAAAGAGTTAATCACAAAAAACATGAACATAATAAAATTGTTAATATTGTCCTTACTTTGAATACAGAATACAACTGTACAGATCATGACAATCAGTAATTGATAGTATAGAAAATAAAGAAAAGTTATTTTGAATGACAAAATGCAAAAACAGACCCGAGTCCGAATAAACTCATTGTCTGAAAGAATTATTCATGTTTATTTATGTTGGTTTCCTTTTCACGTCAAAAAGAAAAACCTTTCCGTCATAATGATTAAAAACAAGCAGAATATTTTCTTGTTTGTCAAAATAAATTCCCCACGACTTGTTCAATCCATCTGATTTAGTAAGAAGTTCTCTATGATGTTTACCATCGTCAGATATAACTAGTACAGAGTTGGTGAGATAACTAGTCACAAAAACATTCCCCTCATCATCTGTTGTCACCCAACGTAAATCTTGAAATTCATCCTTTTTAAACTTCCAAATTAGTTTTCCATCTAACGAGCAGCAGTATAATGATGTATGGTCTATACAAACCAACCTGTCTCTGTCTACTGTAATGTCGTAGATAGGGTCTGAAGGTAAAGGTATAGTACGTATTACTTTACCTGTCAGGTCCATCACATGTATTATACTCCTATCAATAACAACGTACAGGTTATTATCATTATATGATATTCCGTAGCAGTAACGACTGGTGTTGATTGTACTGGTGACAGAACCTGTAGATATATTTATTATCAGTATGATATTGTCATCTATACAGGATACTGCTACAGTATTAATATTTACCACTGTCATATATATTGGTTTATAGGACAGAGGATTGTGATGGATATCAGTACCGTCTGAATTACAAATAATAAGTCGCTCATTCCTGTAGTCGGTAAACACTAATGTATTGTCTGTTTTGATACAGCTATTAATGTTCAGATATTCATTCTTTGACTTTTGGATATTAATCTGTTGACGCAAATTGACAGAATCAGGAAGGTTGGTTTCGACAGATGTTTGGTCCTGAGCTTCTATTTTTGGTTCATTTTCTGAAATAAATAATCAAGTATCGAGTTGGTTAATTCAACAATTTATTGCTTAATCTAAAATGTAGTTTACCGCTCAAAGGGTTTAGAGTTTCTTTTGTTTTGCACACTCTATATGAGGTATTGAATTTTTCACTCTCGGATGTTATTTATTTTTATAAGTGTTATATTCACTTTCAAGTTTGAAAGCTCGTTAAAGCTCTAATTCGAGCTTAGCATAATCGAGAACAGCATATAATCCAAGGAAAATCGGAAAAAAATGTAAAAATGACAGAGATGGAAAAACAGATATGTGTAGAGCATAGGCGTGTACTGGATACACCAATGCAGTGGGAGAAGATATTTGTTTGACCCAAGAATTGTAAATCTGTGTGTATTTTAACACAAATATATGTATATGCTTCCTTTGTCCTAATCACGAGGAGAAAAAAAGGTTGGTGGTCTTTCTATATGAAAGTTTTACATAGACGTTTCGCTGAAATAGGTGCCTCTTAGATGTGTCAAATATATCAGTGGGTTGCAATTCCACCAAGGTAAAATGTAAATGAGTTGGTTATTTTTATCTTTCGATTGAATATCTGTATGCTTGTTTTTTTTCTGTTTTTAAATCAAATTCAGATGAATGTACTGATAATTATATAAAAAGTAAAATCACAATAAAATATTTAAATATATGAACGGGTAATAAGTTTGTCATGAAATATGTTCAAGGGTCGTGATTACGTACAAATTGATGAAACAAAGAAAACCAAAATGACATATAGACACGCAATATGAATGATTTTTGGTTACTTAACGTCCAGTGACAAATATTTCATGCATGTTATTGACGAGAATTAACAATACATACAATAGGTAGGTCCTGTAACAGAGGTCATCCTGGTTGATTCGGACTGCCACGGGAAAATGAGGATATCTTGGATAGGGACAGACATTTTGCCTTGCAACAGGCCATATACTGACCCCGCAAATCGTTGTTGCAAAGGTTCTTAACGTTTAAAGAGCGTGGCAATCTCTTTACACGAGGCATTTAACGTCCCCATTCTGATCGGACGTGACTGCAAACTTGTTACTTCCGCAAAGTCACACGGACGTCCCGTTTTGGCGAGGGTTTTACTGCTGGTCGGAGGAAGACCAATGGTGACCATATTTATATTCCCCAATCACCCTTTTTGGGGAAGGGGGTTGTGAGTTGTAAAGAAAACAAACATCCGAATTTAATCGGTCAAAATAATTAAAGTAGAAAAACATCGGAGATGTTGGCTAGTAGAGCGGGTTTAAATTGTCTTACTTTACAGTACTTGCATTTTAAAGGTATTCTTAATTTGTTCTCGTCTTGAACATGAACGAAACATTTGCCAATGAAGGTAAAGCAAACAACAGTTAATCGATCTTTAATGAGCTTACAATTCAGAAAACATGTGTCTCTGCGGATTGTGGTGGCCGATGTTTAGTTTCATTGAAAAATATTTTAAAAAATATTCTTCATGAATTAAACTATGTTTTTGTTTGGTTTTTTTTTTTATAATAGGAGGAAAATGAATATTATATTTATGTACATCTTAGTACATGATGTATTTCGGTTTGACAAACATCTGGTATGTAGCAAGTTTTGCAAGAAAGCCCCCTACTAACCGCACAAATCTCTTTGTTTAAGAAGCAAGGTTTCGCCTCAAGAGGCTTCGCGTATTTCTGTGGGATGTCAACATGCGCATTTACGTCAGATCAGAATTGAGAAGTTGAATATTATGTATGGTAATGACACGGTTTCTGCAGCTTCCAATTACAACATTTGTGGAGTTGCCTATTCGAAGCAAAATTGTTGACCATATATGAGGCTGTCAAGATTCAGAATACTCTTTACTTTCATACCAGTCGAAGACTTAAATGTAATATCACTAATATACCTAAACAACAGGGATGAATGGGTCATATAAATATTGTCCCTGGTATCCCGATCGGCAGTAACATCTTTATCAAAGTGGGGCGTCTGTTTGGTTGTGTGGGATGTTTAACTACGCAATCCCGTCCAATGTCATGTTCTCTGCTCGTTAAAGAACCATTGGAACACCTCATTGGAGGATCAAGAGTTAGCATGTTGCAAGGTTAAATGTCGACCCTCTATCCAGCATACCCTCATTTCCATTGACAGTCCAAATTTCTTCGACTCGGGAGGCCTTACTGACAGAACCTACATATTGCATTAATTGTTGATAGTGTATCTTCCTGAATATGCATGAAATATTTTCCCCTGAACGTTAAGCAATTAAAACTCGAGCAATCAATCAATATTATAATACCTTTCCCTACCATACATGCCGTTTTGATTTTTTTTACTTTTTGATTCCGGTAATCAGCGACCAATGAATCATATATTTGACCCACCAAGACATTCCAAGGGTTATGTAAGTTAATCGTCATTTTGCGAAAAACTTCGTTAACTATTAAATTAACTTCAATTTTCTATTGGTACACGTGTTTATCTCTATTCTGAACTTAGAGAAAAATAATAAAAATGTCGTTTGATTGCAAATGAAACAACTCTCTTTCAGAAACCAAATGACATAGAAATAAACAGCTACCTGTCACCGTTCTGCCTTCAACAGGGGGTAAAACCCATACGACATCAAAGAAACATGTATGAAAGATCAGTTTAAGTAAAGCGTCAGTTAAGCTGTACAGGATGTACAAGTACACAGCCACATCCGGTCAGAATAGGAACGTTTAATCCGATGCCTCGTGTATAGAGTGCCACGCTCTCTTCACGTGTAAAACCCTTGCAATAACTCTTTAAGGGGTCCTGTTGCAAGGCAAAATTTTGTCCCTGTGTAATAAACCCTCATTGCACAATGGCAGTCTAAATTTCTCCCCGACCTTCATCCCGGACGTCTTTTATTACAGGACCTTGCTATTGTTTTCATTGATATATTGATCTCGTACTGAACATACATGAAATATTTGCCACTGAACGTTAAACAGCTAATAAACAATCAATCGAATTAGGCTTTGCCCGAGTGAGTTGGAACCTTTTCTTCTTAAAAAAAATCATAATTGATCAAGGTGGAATTGAAACATTGCCGACTGAGCTCGGGGATTAAACAGATCACCCTGCAGCACTGGTATTAATCCAGTGCAGGTAAATGAAAATAACACTTTACCAATGTCTTGTCTCGGAAGTGTTTTTCTTGATTTTTATTAATCAGGAAATCTCAAACTGTAACATTGAGTTTAGTTTTGGCGTTACTTTTGATTCCTCTTCGTTTTATCAACCCTTCAACATTTTATTTAAATGTTATTGATATCCTGGGATGTAAAGATATGTTGAAACGTTAGGGAATTTATCACCAAAAGACCATAAAAAGACCAAATTTATCTACATCTACATCAGTAATTTCATCTTTGCTTCAGGTAGTGGGAAGCTTTATTTTGTTAGTAATTTCTTAATTCATCATAAATCATGAAATTAGAAACGTTTATACATATATATCCCTAAATTCACATCTGTATTATTTCAACCGCTTCAAGGAGAATGTTACGATTGATCGATTGTTGGTTGCTAACGTCCAGTATCAAATATTTCATGCTTGTTCAGGACGAGGACAAAATAACAGTAAATACAATATACAGGTGCTGTAATAGAGGACATCCGGGATGAAGGTTGTGAAAATTTAGACTGCCACTGCAAATTGAGGGTTAGTTGGATAGGGCAGACATTTTTCCTTGTAAGAGGCCACCTATAGACTCATCAAAGAATTGTTATTAGGGTTCTCTTAACGTGGAAAAAGCGTGGCACTCTCTTTACACGAGAAATTGGATTTAACGTGACGTGGCTGCGTACTTGTACATCCTACTCAGCCAAACGGTCGCCCCAGTGTGCCAAGGGTTTTCCTGCCGGTCGGGAGAAGACCTGTAGTGGCCATATTTCTATTCCCCTGTCACCTTGGGGATGAAATTGTATGATAAGGCCACTTTACCACCTTTAATTCCTACTTATAACAATCATCAGATGTTCAAATGGACATCAGTATTTGCTTTTTGAAAAGGTGTCATTTATATTTGCATTACGAGTCTAAAACTTTTTACATGTAAAAAAAACTGCAATAAATACCCTACTCTTGATCTTGTCGTTAATAAATTGATATGAGAAACAGTAGAACGACATGTTGCAACTAATTGTATTTTACAAAGATGTTATGTTTGTATAACATCTTTCTTAGTAAAGCTGTTATTCATATGTATAAATATATATTGACGAAAACCTGTGTGAAATGAGCATATCAGGTCAAATATGTTAAGTGTAGTTCCCGAGGGAATCATGAGCTCAGTAATCAGTACTTCGGTACTGACATGATTTATATCAAATTATCTAGAATTGACAGTTTATAAATCTTAAAATTATACAGAAACTAAGGATTCAACCCCCTCAGGCAAAGTTGGCCTTAGGATGGATTTGGCTATTTTTAGGTCCTTTTTGGTTAAAAGCTCTTCAACGTGTTCGGTCCTTATACATCCTTGGCTTTGAAATATTCGACTATGAGCGTTCCTGATGAAGTTAAATCCAGAAAAGCGCTTCGGACCTATAGCTGGGGGAAAGCTATATTTATGAATACAACATTAATTTGAAAAACTTTTAAAAAACTATGTTTAATTCTTCTGAATTAAGAAACGTCTCCTTTCTTTGTTGTTCCCTTTGCATAAAGAGGAATATTCTAAGGACAGGACTGAAGAGTTATATCGCCATTAATATATGATCTAGAAAAAATGAAACCGGTTAAAAGATAAATATACGAAAGGAAAATATGTAAACAATGATATTACTTGGATTATGGTCATCCTGCTTGGTAATCCGTGTCACCTGAAAAAAAATTAAAAAAAATTAAAAATAAACTGAAAAAAAGAAATAATAATTTAAAAAAAAACCTACATAATTACAATGTAGATAAACCTTTCATAATGTTCTACTGATTATAAAATAAGTATGATTATTGAAATACGTAACCTATTAGAAGGTTATGCGAAATTTAACCTGTAAGATATTTTTAAAGAATTACATATAAACTAGTTTCAGATATAGTACTTGCAATTGCAACCTTATGCGTTACCGTTTCAGTGATAGTCAGTAGTCGTCAATCCGTCACCGATCAATCAATCAATCAAGTTCACATCACCAATCCATTTAACTTATAAGGAGAATACTGATTGATCGTTGTTAGGGGTTAAACTCAGATTATTACAACAGCTGGGGGACTTTTTGACCACGAGGTTAGCATTAGCCCAGTAGCCAGTACCTTGGTATTTGCATGAAAACCACGAATATTATTTTGATTTAAATTGTTGTTATTAAATTTCGAAATCATCTTAAAGCAAGGAATGTATCTCCTTCGTGTATAGCTATGATTCCTTGTCCAGGTTTGGCTTCATTTTGGTCATTTTGGTTTAGTCCCCACTTCGTCGTTTTGATAGGATTTTGTATTTTCAAATTGTTTGGCCTCGAGCATCGGTGAACAAACGTGTATGTCGAAATGCGCTCCTGGTGCAGTAAAATTAATACCGTTAATGTTGTTGTTATTATAACCACTGGATCTTTACTTCTGCTGGAGGACCTTTCGTATCCGAGGGTATCGTTTGCCCAGTACTGGCATGGAAATACAGATATTTATTGGAATTTTTGTTAAACAATTTTAAATCATTTTGTATTAAAGAATGTTTTATCCTCATGCATAGCTCCTTATCCGAGTTTAGATGTACGTTTCGGTCTTTTTGGTTTTATCAGCTGTTACACGTTTGTATTCGGTTTTTGAATCTCAAGTATATATTGGTCTCGATCATCATTGATTGTCGAAATGCAGATCTGGTAGAGTTAAATTGGTACCGTTAATGTTAATTTGATTACTACTACTGGATTGATACATCTAATGGACTTTTAGTCCCCAAGGATATCTTGAATCCACTTGCCTGTACTTCAGACTGACTGATCGGTCTTCACGGATTGCACTCGATTTATTACTACCACCAGCTCGATACATATAACTGTGCGACTTTTTAGCCACGATCGATATATCTCCTAATGGTTTCTAAGTATACGAGGGTATAATTAGCCAAGTAACCAATACTTCGATGCTTGCAAGAAGTGATGGATATTGTTATATTACAATGGCTGTTAAAAAAATTCGGAATCGTGCATAGTTTTGGTTCCTTGTACAAGGAATGTATCTCCCTTATGCATAGTTCTAGTTTTGTTTCCTTGTACAAGGAATGTATCTCCCTCATACATAGTTCTAGTTTTGGTTCCTTGTACAAGGAAAGTATCTCCCTCATACATAGTTCTAGTTTTGGTTCCTTGTACAAGAAATGTATCTCCCTTATGCATAGTTCTAGTTCCTTTTACAAAGAATGTATCTCCCTAATGCATAGTTTTGGTTCCTTGTACAAAGAATGTATCTCCCTTAAGCATAGTTCTATTTCATTGTCCGGATTCGGCTTTACTTTTTGGTCCTTTTAAGATTATCAGCTCTTCAACGTTTGTATTATGTTCAGCATTACTGAGGAGACGCTAATTGTCGAAATGCGCATCTGGTGCTGTAAAATTGGTATGTTTAATGTGAACGTTCCTCATACGTCATCGTTGAGCTTTTGCACATAAAAAGGTACATTTAGAGTGCCCAAGAAGAAGTCGCGCCAATAACAAGTCTGTAGAAGACTCATTTCCATCATTGCTTTACGCGATTACTATAGTTTAAGCTTATTTATATTTTCATAACCACGCAATACAATACAATCTTAACTGTTGTCAACGAGAGGCGAACAGTACCAAAGGGATATTCAACTGATGTAAAATCGAAAAGAAACTGACAATGCCATGGCAAAAAACGACAAAAAGACCAACTAGAGTACAAACAACACAACATAAAAAACTATGGACGGAGTAACACAGACCAAACATAAAAACTTGAAGTTGTTCTCGCTCTGGAAGGATAATATGTAATTAAAATCCGTTTTGGACAACCGCTTGAAATAATCGTAATTTTAATAATTGGACTAATATCAGCAGACCAATAACGTGCATATATACACTTCTAATTATTGGACCCTCCAATCAATAGACCATAAATGCTTAAAAGGCATTGTCATCAATAATAACATGAGAAAATATGATAAGATATTGTTGCCCCTTACAACAAATGTAATAAAAATGTACAGGATGTTCCGACAGACTGTTAACGTTGTCTCGGCAACCATTCAGCCTTTAGTTCACCTTAGGAATACACGTTATATTTGTAAGATTTTCTTACTTAAAGTGAATTATCAACTTTTTAATGATTCTACATGTGTCGTAAATAATGTTTGAATAGGATTTTTGCATTTAACGCAAGTAGCGATCTCTAAAAACTGCACAGTAGTATGGAAACTATATCAACTGAAAATTGACGATGAGCACAGAAACGACATACGCAAGTAAATATTTACTTCCAGAGCATCTGCGATCACCCCTGGATTCTGGTTGGGGTTTGTGTTGCTCCGTTTTTAGTTTTCTATGTTGAGTGTTGTATACTGTTTATCTCTTGGTTTTTTTTTTTTTGCCATATCTTTGTAAGTATGTCTTTGACATGTGAGTTTGTTATAATCATACTTTTAATTTAGCATATGGAAAGCTTTACACTTGAAAAGGTTTACAAAACATTTGCGTAAATTAAGGATGCCGTGCAACTTTTCGTAAATAAACGGTATGTGTATCAAGTTACGTGCAAAACCCATTTACATGATGGATAAAAATATGTAGATTGTAATGTTTTGTTCGCAGAATGATAAGTTTCTATTTAACGTCCAGCAACAAGTATTACACATACATGGTAACAGAAATAAATTTAAAGTCAGTTAACATACAGTTCATTATGCTACCATTGTTACCGTCTTTTTAAAATTTTCCCATTTGTGTGTCGAGGAGAAGTGATTATGCATTCACTGCAAAGTCATCAGATCCAAAATGAATAATTTGTATCTGAATTTTTATGAATTTTGTGTTAACATTCTGAAGAAAAAAAATTCTAAACAGTAAAGATTATAAATTTACAAAGACACTATAGCACGTAATCAAGAAGATTAACAACGCCAGTACCTAGAATCTATACTTCAAGACCATCATGTATTTTTTGTGAAGTTAAGTTGACGCCGTATTTAATTTTTCATCGGAAACAAGATATTTTCATCTTCCATTTGAAAAAAAAAGTTTTTATTTTCAAAACATCTGATATACTCTGATGTGCACATGTCACAAAATATGACAATGTATATTTGATATATAGATATAAGAAGATGTGGGATGAGTGCCAATGAGAACAATAAACCATTTTAGGTCAAAGTACGGCCTTCAACACAGAGCATTGGCTTACACCAAACAGGACGCTATAACGGGCCCCAAAATGACAAGTATAAATCAATTCAAACAGGAAAACCAACTGTCTAATCTATATACAAAAATACACGTTACGAAATATGAAAATGCATGTTTCATATGCACATGCCACAAATATAAAAATGGATAATATGTTGCCACATCACCATCCTCCCTATTATCATAACAATTATCATTAACATTATTGTTACCATTATTATTATCATCACCATTTTCAATAAAATTAGCATTACAATTACCATTTGATACAGACAATGCTAATTAGGTTTTGCTAATTTGGCTTGCCATCTTAAAATTAACTCTTAAAAGTTCCCGGGAGAGAAAGAGAGAGGGGGTGTACTACAGCAAACATTCAGACAGTTGATAATATACGTATCCAGACAGAGTTAAGACTGTTTACAATGTGTCTAGACAATATCAGACAGAGTTAAGACTGTTTAGAATGTGTCCAGACAATATCAGACTGAGTTAAGACTGTTTAGAACGTGTCCAGACAATATCAGACTAAGTATAGACAGTTGGGGAATCCAAATGATAATCTAAGCAATTTTTAAAGATGTCATTTTAAAAACATACCTCATTATTCATCCAAGGCGAATATATCTGGTCAGATCGATGCATTTGCTTATGTTGAGTACAGAAACACTCCTTCTCACTTGTCAATTTCTCATATTCAAATGTGTCTTGAAAATAATAGCCATCACTGCATTTGAAATGGAGTTTAAAAGATGTTTTCACCTTATATCTCTCTTTTATATCTTCAATTAGTTGTTTCACTTCTCTGTAGATATCACTGCACGTGCTTCCGAATCCCTCCTCTTCGGAAAACGACACGAGCTGAAGAGCAATTGTATCGGTCGACATAGTAACTAGTATCTTTGTACCACCAGATCCATCAATGTCAAACATACAGATGCCACGATATAAAGCAATACCACCCTCTACTTTGCTAGAGTAGTAGTTTCTGATAAACCAGGCAGATAGATGGTTAAAGAAAGAAGGTGGGAGAAATTCAAATTTAAAACAAAGCCAAGAAGTCCTTTTACATTTTTGTGTAAGAATGTCAAATTTTTCACATACAACATCAAACGTGGAGGGCGGCATCATGCTTGGCATTATATAATTTGAGTTACCAATTTTGACCAATATATCAAGCTTTTCCATAATTGCATGCAAATTATTTGTCTGTTCTGAAAACTGACTTCCATCTTTTGATTTGAACAGTTCTGTTATTAACGATTCGCTTATTTTGCCTTGTCGTATAAACAGTGTCCAGTCCTCATGGTGATGCAATCTTCTGTTTTCAACTCTATCTGAAACTAAACATCGGAAAGCATCTGCTAACCATTGGGGTCTTAATATGATTAAATCCGGTATATTAGCAAAGAAAATGATGTTCCCTACGTTATGCTGAAATCGAAGAAACAACAACAAATCCTCCTTTTCTAGAATATTGATATCAGGATGTTAAGCCAGATTTGACATATCAGTAAAGTTGATGAAATGCTTGTTATCGTTCTTATTAATTTCAATCAAATGTTCTAAAAGAATCCATTTTAACGGAAAAGCATTACCCCAATTTCCCATTTTCCGTGCAGTATCGTAAATTGCGTATTGCAACTTCTCAAATTCTGTGTCACTGTCATTTGTATTTGACAGATAAAACTTGTTGTGCAAGTGATGATATTTGCTTTGAAATCCAAGAACTTGGTCTATTTGATCATTGAGTTCCTTTTCTCTCTTCTTAAAATCTGCCTACAGAAAATAGATAAAAGAATCAGCAATTGTCATGATTGATACTATATCAACAATTATTGAGAAGATTTAAATAGATAATGAACCCAAATATATATAATTTTCATTACAACGTATCACTACCTTTCATGGCAACTATAAAGACAATTTATGGGCCTTCTATATCTTACTATACTGCATGGGTATTTATCGTTGTTAAAGGCCGTATCAAAACCCCTTTTATTCATATTGTGTTGCTTTGTACAAATGGATAGTTTTCCCTTTAAAAATCATACCATATTTTCTTATAAAACCCACAATATTTGACTGGGGCATACATTTATAGTAATACCGTTGTCTTCTACCGACTGGCAGTAAACCATTTGACAAAGAGGGACGTTCGTTTGGCTTAGCAGGTTGTATCAAACGGCGTCCAGTCAGAACGGGGTCGTGCAGTTCGATGAGTCATGTAGAGAGCACAGAGGTCTCTGCACATTACGAACACTTGCATCAACTCTTTTTAGGGCCCATACAATAGCCTGTTACCAGGCTAAATTTCTGTTTCAATCTTCATAACCCCACTTCGCAGTGGCTTTGAAAATTTTAAAACCATCAAATCGGTTGACACCGTATTTGATGACTTACCTGTTTTATTGTTATTTGTTCTAGTTCTGAACCTGCATGAAATATTTGAAACTGGGCGTCAAATAAGCAACAACGAATTAATCCCTTATAAACAAAGAATATGCATATTTCTAAATCATTTTTTTTGGGCAATCTCATTCAAGTCATGTCATCTTCTCTCCATTAGACGTCCTTTTAGGGTATTGGAATCTTAAATTTAATTTCAATTGAAACCAATAACATGTAAGAAAAAAAATGGCACATTGTTGAACCTTTATCCTTGTCTTGATATACATGCCATATTTTCCACTGGACCATGAATACCAATTCATCATTCCTAACATGTTAAACATATACACATCACCTGAAATTAACGTTGTAAATTTCCAACAGGGAAAACTGTTAACCCTTAAAAGAACAAAATTGAGATGCGTTACGCATTCCTCAAGATAGGTTTGTTTTTTCTATAAAAAAAGTATTAACTTTGTTATGCCTAAGACAAAAAACTCGTATAGATTTTACTTTTTATTAAACTCTTTAATGGGTCCTTATGTAGCCTGTAGCGAGGCAAAATGCATGTTCCTGTCCAACAAACCAATGTTTTTCAGTCCTAAGTCCCCAAGCTAAATCCCTTTTGTCTCATATAGCAGAACATATATATTTGTACTTTATTTATTGTTTTGTTTGTGAATATGCATGAAATAAATGTCACTTGACGTTAATCTGGCAATGATTATTTCAACGGATTTTTGTTTGTTCATAATTTGTTATGTTAAGCTATTGTCCAAGGTTTGTGTTAAATTGAGCGCCCATAAGCACGTTTAAGATCAAACATGCTTAATGTGCCTGTTAAAAGGAAGGAGTCCAGTTGTTGTTTATAATTATCGTTTCAGTTATTGTTGTGTTATAACTAATGTATAGGTAACCATTTCTAGTAGGTTTTGCTTACAATAATTTTTGATCTTCTATGGATGGACGTCTCATTAGCAAATATTTCTTTGATGACATTCCGATCAAGAACGGATGATACTAAGTGAAACCATGTACATGACTGGTATGGAAGTGAGGAACAGCGTTCTACAATTGTATTACCTTGTCATATTTATCCTTTCCAGTGAAAACTAATAAAATCGGAGGATCGAAGTGGCCATACCTAGCTGGTTTGTCGGTTGTTCGATGACAATGGATAGAATCAAACCAAAAATCAACATATTCTGAAATATATCAACAGTGTTTAATAAATAATGTTTTGAGACCAAATAGGATACTTTGAATATATGTACCCTAACACTGACTATCTTAACACTAAGCTTTTGATTTTGACATTTGAGAAGGAACTTCCCGTTTTATTTTTTTTTTTTTTACTTTCTATTACTTGTTGACATGATCACAACATTAGGACATAATTAAGGTAACTTGTATTTCAGATATTGAAACACTTTAATAAAACATGTTTTTGTTTTATTATAAGACCCAACTGGATGAAACTTTATGAAAATGTTACTTGGTATGCCTAGATGGACAGACAATATTTAGTAATTCCAAAATTGATCCATCATGGAAACAGGGCGAAAGATTAACATTGACCCTAAGGGAATATACATTAAAGCAGCAGTTTCTTCAAAGAATATTACAAACAAAACTATATGGTTATGTAACCTGTCATGTGCCAATGTGGTATCTGTCTTTGGAATTTTTAAAATGGTCACCGTGACCATTGAAACAGCAAAACTATAAAAAATTTCAAAATGCTCCAAACTTCATGAAACTTTACAACAATTTTAATTGGCATGTGTAGATGCGCTGTTTGACTTTGGAATTTTCAAAATTGCTGCCGTTACCCTGGCAATAGGGGGACGAGGGTGCCATCCGTTATTGCTCTCAATTACAAATCTAGTTGCATTTGAATTTCTTACATGAAAACATACCTCCAATATGCTGAAAATCGGCAAAACACTGACCCAATCCTTGTTTACTTATGTCGTCCTTCATATCTGCAACTACAAGGTATACTGCACTACTTGTTAAAAATGCTTGATGTGTAGCATAAAATTCTTTTTGTCCTGCAAAGTCCCATAATTCACATAATGCATAAAGGTTTGAAGGAGAATTAACAGTTGACTTGGAAAACATATTTGACATCAAATCCTCAGGCATTACCAATGATGAAGACTTATTCGTTTCTTTATTGTTATCCAGATTAATCTTTGCGTCGCTAGTGATATCCTCAGGCATTACCAAAGATGGAGACTGGTTCGTTTCTCCTTTTTTATCCAGATTAACTTTTGATTTTGCTTTGAAATCCTCAAGCATTACCAATAATTCAGACTCATTTGTATCTTCACTTTTATCCCGAATAACCGTTATGTCGGTTGTGGTGTCTTTTTTATAGGTAGATATATCATCACCATGACTTATATTTATATTATTTCTCTCATCTACCTCAATATTTTCAGTGTTTCTGTCCTCGGCATTTGGAATCAGTGCTCTCTTAATCCGGCTCACTTTATCATCGTCAATTTCTGGCAGGAAAACAAAATTAGAAAAAAAAACAATACTATCTTTTACAACAAGTTACAAGGCTATCTATTGGCAGTAGTGGTAGTTTCCCATACCATCCATACGGTGTTTAATCTTTATTTTATTGGTTCATTAGAATAGTTCAATGCAGTTTTTATTACAGTTTAGGCGAATAGAAACATTACTTGAAATGAAAATGTTGTGCTTTGACGTTTCCCTACTTAAATGGTTGAAATATCCCAAGTGAAAAAATTGAAAACAACACTTTTTATAAATTATAGTTCGTCCGAAGCGCTTTTCTGGATTTACCTTCAGGAACGCTCAACGCCATATATTTGAAAGCCAATGATTTATAACAGCCGAAACAGTTAAAGAGCTATATGAAAATAGTAAAATTACAAAAATACCGAACTCCGAGGAAATTCAAAACGGAAAGTCCCTAATCACCAGAAGTACTTAAAATAGTCAAGTCATATGTCACTTTACTGAGGGAGTTGAAACCTCAGTTTCTTTATAATTTCAAAATTTATAAACGGACAATTTTAGAAATGTTATAAATCATGTCAGTACCGAAGTACTGACTACTGAGCTGATGATACCTCTCGGGTTAATAGTCAACCAGCAGAGGTATCGACCCAGTGTTATTAAAAATTAAAACAACTCGTTATAAAATTAATGCTTCCATAACGCAAACTCGGGTATAGAAAAATGTCCAGCTTATCACTTAAAACTTCTCTTAGAAAGGCGTTCGTTCTGCTGTACAGGTTGTATAAGTTCGTAGCCATGTGTGACAAGAAGGGGACATTTAATAACTTAAACGGTACCAATTTTTCTGCACAAGATGCGCATTTCGACAATTAATGTCTCTTCAGTGATTCTCGAGGCCAAAATATTTGAAAATAAACAGCTTATTAAAAAAGATAAAGAGCTATAAATCAAAATAAAAAACACCAAAAAAGTATAGCTAAAGCCGGACTAGGATTCAGAGCTTTGCATGAAGAAGATACATTCCTTAATTTTAAATAATTTCCAAAATTTTGTAACAGCAAATTTTAATTACAAAAAAGCCGTAAACTGGGCTGGTGATACCCTCGGGGACTATCAGTCTATTAGTTAATCTGATGTATCGTGCTGAGATGGTACACGATTCACTATATAACACTTGCTCCAGCTCAGTGGCAATACATTGCTGTTACTATCCATCATAGCATTGTTTTCCAGTGGCAGTCCATTCCCTCGCCCTTCATGCCAGGAGTCTCACCATGCCTTATATTCATATTGTATTAATTGGTAATAGTTCTTTTCTCAAATATGCATTAAATAATTGCAACTTGACGCCAAGCAAGCAACAAAAAACTCGATTAACGAACAGTTGACATGCTTTACATTTTATATGTCTATATTTTTATGATTGGACATCATGAGGCCATAGTATTGGGATAACTTTAACATGTATAAAGTGTTTGAAAGATAATGGTAATAAACAAATGTAAAAAAGTGCAGTACAGGGTCAGTCTAACACCCCTTTAAAAATGCCAACAGGATCTGATTGGATAATTTTCAGGGATCCATAACGTAGGGACACTGTAGGATTTTTGACACGTAATTGCAGTGTACTTAAGCTTAAAATCATTGAAGAAGATTCATTGAAAAAATCTGACAAACAAATTTGGCGAGGAAACTGTGATTTAGATAGTTCAAGATGAGTCCGTGCCCTTTTAAAATATAATGTAAACCTGCCACTAGACGAAACGCGCGTCTGGCGTATCAAATTAAAAGCCTGGTACCTTTGATAACTATTTTCACCACTGGGTAGATGCCACTGCTGGGTGACGTTTCGTCCCCGATGGTATCACCAGCCCAGTAGTCAGCACTTCGGTGTTGACATGAATATCAATTATATGGTCATTTTTTTTAATTAACTGTTTGCAAAAGTTTGAATTATTCGAAATATTAAGGATTTTCTTATCCCAGGCATAGATTACCTTAGCCGTATTTGGCACAACTTTTTGGAATTTTGGGTCCTCAATGCTCTTCAACTTTATACTTGTTTGGCTTTATAACTATTTTGATCTGAGCGTCACTGATGAGTCTTATGTAGACGAAACGCGCGTACGGCGTAACAAATTATAAGCCTGGTACCTTTGATAACTATTAACATGACCAAAAGTAGCAATAAATACAATAGGTAGGTTCTGTAGAAGTGGAAGTCCGGGATGAAGGTCAGGACTGTTTGGACTGCCACAGGAAAAATTAGGGTTAATTAAATAAGGATAGAATGTTGAATTACAACGGGCTACCTACGGACTTTTAAAAGAGTTTTTGCAAGGGTTCTTTACTTGCAAATAGTGTGGCGATCTCTTTTCGTGAGACATCGGATTTAACGTCCCCATTCTGACAAACTAAAAAGTCAGGACGGTACTGATCTAATAAACCTAGTTGTCACTGAGTTCTGAACCCGGAAATTTGAATATCTTTATCCATTTGGTATATGTAATTTAAAAAGTATTAACTTGATATCAGTTAATTTTATTTGAAGTAGGGTTAATGGTTTTAGTCAAAGATAGAATGCAAGAACTCTAAAGCAGACTTCATTGTCAATTGTAAACTACTCGTATCAAAAAACCACTTCTTTCAAAGTTTGTCTTTTGTTGCTTTTTACCGATTTGAAATGAGCTGATCTGTACACCGCTTTTTGCAAGATAACCTTTTTATAAATATTTAGTCTTAGATGCATGATTTTTTATTAGTTGTTATTGGCTTTGAATTAGCTGTCAGCAACTACTGGGAGTACTCTTAGATCTGTATTTAGTGTTTTTTTGTTGTTTGGATGTACAAGTACCCGGCCACGTCTAATATGTGTTTTTTTAGAGGTATTTCTATTTGTATCCATCTGTTGAGTTAAGCCTTTTACAACTAATTTTTATAGTTTGATCTTATGTTGTACTGTTACACCACTGTCCAGGTTAGGGGAGTGATGGGCGCCCGCTAACATGTTTAACCCCGCCACTATATGTATGTGCCTGTCCCAAGTCGGGAGCCTGTAATACAGTTCCATTAGTTATTTTCCGCTGCGAATATGAGATGGTAAAATAATATTTATAGATTTTAAAAGTCACATGAAACGAATCTCTTGAAATTTGAACCAATTTTTACATTTATTACGAATCCATAACATATGATCGACAAAAATATTTCATGTAGTGAATACTTTCTGGTTTAATTGAAGAAGTGTAACGAACGTGGCCTTAATGAACACAGAATCATGGAGAACGTGAACAATAAGTGAAACGAACGACATGCCCTAAAGCGATTACATTTTATTTTATTTTTCCATGAGTTTCTATTTGATTATCAATCAACACTATGCAACTTTAAGTGTGTTTCCCTTTTCTTCAATCACGATTTGTTTCTTCGCATTTGATCTATTCGGTTGCAGAAGTACTAACGAGATGTCTTGTGGTTAAGGTCTCTGCATTCGCAACAGCTATTTGCAAATAAGAATACGGAAGGGCAATAATACAATAGCAGTGTGGATTTCGGAAGATTTGATCGGATAAAAAAATAAAACTTGTCAGTCAAGAATATAAAATATATTCAACGTTTTTGTTTTTTTTTTCAGTATCTTGTGACTACGACGCTGGTAAGTTAAAACACAGACACAATTTGTAATGGTGAACTTAGAACTTTTGTGGTGTTGATTTATGTCGAAGCATTTTTGTGTGAGGAGCACACACCTACAAAGGAAGTTTGTATAGTGTAGACATGAGTGAGCGTAAATGTATAGAATATATTTAAAGGCGTGGTTCTACATCCAGGATTCCGAGATCTTTGTCATTTGTAATTTAAGATAATACTTTTTAAGGGCATGCGATACAGTTACAGGGGAGGTAATGGCGTTGCTGACGTAAATGTTTTTTTGCCTCTTCTCTATTAGCAATTGACAGTTCACTAATTTTATTCAAAACAGACGTAAATAACCACGAATATTCTTTGTGATATATCGCAATGTTTATATGTACCAATTTATTTTGAAGTTTGATAAGTTGTCTCTAAATATTTGCGATTAACCATTAAAGGCTATACTTAAAACAATCTTCACTTGAAATAGACTTTTATTTTGTGTTTTAAGTATATATAAAACAGGTGTATTCAATTGTAGATTTTTTTCTGTAAACTGATAATCATTATGAATCACCAGTGAGTATGCATTTCATACTCCTGTATATGAAGTCCGTATTATTTTGTGTTTTAAGTATATATAAAACAGGTGTATTCAATTGTGGATTTTTTCCTGTAAATTGATAATCATTATACGGACTTTGATAATCACTATACGGACTTCATATACAGGAGTGTGCTCCAACAAAGTTATGAGGAGACAGATTAAAAATGACACTCCGTAAATTTTACGGACACCATCACGAATTTGTTAGTCCATACGATGTGTCTTTGTTCAAACTCACTAAGGACATTTTAATCACGTGTTAGATTGTGGTTTGTCATTACGTCGTCTGATCTTTTAATTACCGAACGTGACTTATTCCCGATTGTGACTGTTTTGCTGAGTGTGAAACCGCATTGCTATAAGACGTGTCACGGTACCTTTCTATCCCAAATTCATGTATTTAATTTTTATGTTATATTTGTTATTCTTGTCGGAATTTGTCAAATGTCTTAACGTCTTTTCTGTTATATTCGTGTGTTATGGTAAAGATAATTAATCACCCCCTTCATTTATTAGCTTTTAGTTTGGTTCAACGAAATTATTCTAAATAATAAGGATGTTCTTGTCCCAGGCAGAAAACCCTGGCCGTGTTAGGCGCAACTTTTTGGAAGTTTTGGTCCTCGGTGCTCTTCGGCTTTGTACTTGTTTTGGCTTTCAAGCTTTTTTCATCTGAGCGTCACTGGATGGTCTTGTGTGGACGAGACGCACGTCTGGCGTATTGAATTTTAAGCCTAGTACCTTTTGTTTGCTATTATTTGTGTGTTTCTTTGTCCTATATGTTCTCCTATTTATTTGTATTGTGGTCCTGTCATGTGATGTTGTCGTTTTGGTGTTGTGTTTGACGTTGCCATTAAAGCGGGAGGTTTGGCATGCCACAAAACCAGGTTCAACCCACCATTTTTTTCTTAAAATGTCCTGTACCAAGTCAGGAAAATGGCCATTGTTATATTATAGTTCATTTTTGTGTGTGTTACATTTTTAATGTTGTGTTTTAGTTGTGTCGTTGTTCTCCTCTTATATTTGATGCGTTTCCCTTAGTTTTAGTTTGTAACCCGGATTTGTTTTTGTCTCTATCAATTTATGAGTTTCGAACAGCGGTATACTACTGTTGCCTTTATTTACCTTTGCCGATTATCCATTTTCCATCTCTTATGTTGATTTTGCACCTACGAACAACAATATCAACACCATCTGTACTCGATACACCAGATATGTCTTCCTTCAATAATCTCCTCAAGAGACACGTTTTTCCTGTCGATTCCTTTCCGACAATCATAATTCTAACAAAATATCTGTTTTCTTTTTTTTCAGTTTGCATAAGCTCATTGTATCTGATTTTATCTTCCTCTGATAAATGGTTTATGGCTTCTGGAAAAACTGAAAAAGTATATATCTGTGACGTGATGTTTGAGAATAAATATAGAAAATGATATAGTCTTAGTAAAACAAAAAGGTGTTCATTATCAATCGCAAAATATACACGAACAAACACGTTGAACAGAAAATAGACGTATCTTATTAGTTATTTTTCTCATTCTATCGTATATGAAGTAATCTATTAATTGATTTTAGAGCTAACTCTTGAAAATATACTTAATCTATTTATAATAATATTTTTGGTTGGCTTATTTGAATGGAGATTTGTATGTTGTATTATAAACATGCGTTTTTTTTATTAATATGAAACTATTATACTTTTCACTTTAAAACTAAAAATCTAAAAATCTAATTTACTATAGGGTAAACTATATATGCTCCAACCTCAATAGTTTTTTTTTAAACTTTCAATAACCCAATAAAAGATTAGAATCACGTTTACTAAATAGGTTATGTTGTTATTTGTTGGTTTCGCATTGAAAACTAACAACAATGTGCCCCAACATGGCAACAGCAAAGACTACAGATAAACTATTTGACAAAACATCAAAACTTTAGAAAAATGAGACGGAAAAGCCGTATTTACTTCCAAATCTTTTTGGTTTGTTGATTGAATTGAATAAGTTACAGTATAACGTGCTATAACGTCATCAAATACACCATTTTGAAAGTTTGAGACACAAAATGCGCTAACAACAGTCGAAGCTATCAAAGGTACAGATTTCCTTCCAAGAAAGGCGGACATTTTGTTTATCTAAAGAACAAGATGACAAAAATATATCGTCAATATGGTTTCAGTCAAATTGTCAACTAAACGTCATCAGTGGCGCTCCAGAGGCCTCGGTGGCCAAGTGGTCTAAGAAGTTCTACTTCTGTAATCACTAGCCAGTCAACACTGAGGTTGTGAGTTCGAACCCCGCTCGTGCGGGTGCACTCGACTCCAATCTTAATTCACTAGGATTGTCAGTTTTCTTATCGAAGGTCGGTGGTATTCTCCGGGCACTCCGGCTTCCTCCACCAATAAAAACTGACCGCCACGAAATACCCCAAAAGCGGCGTTAAAACACCAACAATCAATCAATCAATCAGTGGCGCTCAAATCCAAACAGTTGGGAAGTCAAATAAAACGCAAATACTGTTAATTTAAAGAAGAATGTATTGTCAACACAAAAGTGCTTACTACTAGGCTGGTGATTTTGTGGGGAACTAAAAGTCAACCAGCAGCGACATCCAAACGGTTTTAAAAAAAAGAAAACATCAAAGATCAATGATTTGGCACAAACGCGACCACTTCCACTTCCACTTCAAAATTACCTTTTCCGGACCTTCTCCTTTGTTCGTGTTCTTTAAAAAGAATCGTAAATCGAAAAAAATGTATGCGCACGATTGTGTCGATAATAGAATTAATTTGCCAATTTAATAAATTATCATTATACCATAAATATAGAAAAAATGTTCTATTTACAATACCTTGACCAGAAATTAAAAATAAAATTACGGCATCTTGAAACAATTAACTTCTTGTTTTATGGCATGTACTATCATTTCTTCAAGAAACTGACAAAATCAGTACGCATGCCCTCTATGTACGTTTTCATATTTTACGTACAGTATAATTATCTGTCTTTTGTGCATCAAAAATTATTAACATGTGTGGCTTACTTTACTTACGCAAAGAACTAAAATAAAACAGACATAGAAACGTAAATCATAAACATGTGAGTATTACTTCGTATTAACAAAGAGCTGAAAAAATATATAGAAAGGTAAGTAAACACATGTGTGTCTTACATCTTAGTTAAACAACGGGCTAAAACAGATATAGAAAAGTAAAGCATAAACAAGTCTGTCTGACCTCTTATTTAAAAAAAAAAATAACTTACAAAACAGATATAGAAAAGGAGAGTATAAATATGTGTGGCTTACTTCTTATTAAAACAAGTAACTAAAAACAGATATAGATAACTATAGTGTAGACATGTGTGTCTTACTCTTTATTTAACCAGAGAGCTATAAATAAATATACAAAAGTAAAGTATAAACGAATACATAGTTAAAGTGTATGCACTTACTATTTGGAGGTTCGATACATCTTCTCAATTGTCGCCGATTTGTCAGTAGAATAATACAAACAACGCCTGAAAAATATAGTCTCATGTTCAGAATAGATCTGTTATTGTATATGGAATAGACCTACATCAATGTTTGTAATTGTATATAGAATAGACCTACACCAATGTATCTTTATTTGAATTCAATATGAAATCAGTTGTGTCCTTATTACTTTATTCTGTTTCACATTCAATGTTTATTATATGATTTCATAAGTATCCGGAACAAATCGCACTGGACCGATTGCTTACGTCACCATATTTATTGTACTACGCGACTGCCTTTAATTAATCTGTGACACCGTCTGCTCCAGTATTTCAACACATGTTTCATGGACGATATTTAATATTCTGAGGAAATCGAGACATACCACTGTCAAGTACGTTTGATTCGTTCATAAACTGTGATAATGAAATCTGTTTAAATCCGTTAATTTGTATAAGTGATTTGATAAATGCATACGAACTGTAAGTTATTTATATCTGATATTTGAACTGTAAATTCCATTTTCGTTTTCATTTGATTGTTTATATAATATTTGCATTTAAACTTTTAATATGTTCAATTCATACACATTGTAAGTATTGCTTTTTGTTTTATTGCAGTTTTACCAATACACTGACTACTGTAACCTTTTTGGTGGAATATCATAATTACAATTTTCCAAATAAGTTGTTTTCTTTATATATTCGCCGAGATTGCGATTCTGTCACTTGGTTATACCTACTGGTCCGGCCAGTACAACTTTCAATCAAAGAAGTATATTTATTAATTACCTTTGTTGATTAATTCGTGCGTCATTTTTTGACCTATGAACATAACCTTTATGAAGAATGTCTTACAAAAACCATGTTGATAAATAACAGACAAATAGGACACGCAGATCGTTATTAAAGGTTAATTCAATCTGTGAACAATGTTCTCGTTTTTCACTACATATTTAAACATCAATCTCTAAAAAAGATATGTTGGCAAACACAAAGATTGAGTTTATTGAAGTTATTTCAAATTATTAGTGACATAAATCACATTAGAAATCGTTGTTTATTTGATATGCAAAACCACAATTACTGATTGATTGATTGATTGTTGGTTGCTTAACGTCCAGTGGCAAATATTTCATGCATATTCAGGACGAGAACAAATTAACAATAAATACAATAGGTAGGTTCTGTAATATAGGCGTCTGGGATTGAGGTCGGAGAAATTTAGACTGCCACGGGAAATGAGGGTATATTGGATAGGGACAGACATTTAGCCTTGCAACAGGTCACCTACGGACCCCTCAAAGAGTTGTTGCAAGGGTTCTTAACGTGCAAAGAGCGTGGCACTCTCTTTACACGAGGCATCGGATTTAACGTCCCCATTCTGACCGGACGTGGCTGCAAATTTGTACATCCCGCACAGCCAAACGGATGCCCCACTTTAGCACGGGTTTTACTGCCGGACGCAGGAAGACCAATGGTGACCATACTTCTATTCCCCAGTCACCCTTGGGGGGGCCACAATTACTGGCAGTGATGTGAGAGTGTTTGCTCCGTCTAAAAGCCTCGTTGTGACTTGGAGATGGAGAACTGCAATACAAGTGCTGTTCCATCACTTTTTGTATTGTTTGCTATGCGTTTACTGATTTTGTGTCATGGATGGATAACCATATCCTTTTTTTTTCTATTATGTAATTTAAACTACAAAAAAAAAAAACGCTTTTATGATACTTAGTGAATAACATTGTAACACTCACGGAAGAATAGTGTAAAATTCCTACAACACCTATAACGTCGTAATTGATGAGTGTTCACAGATATCGGAAATTATTGTGATATTTTTAAGTATGTATTTATTTGGGTTTTTTTATATAATGAATGCTTATTACAGGATAACGTGAGCGACTTTCAAATACACGATCATCAACCCCCTGGTTGGACTATTTTATTGATGAATTATTAATTTATAATTATTCTCGACATGCACCATACAAACTATTTCCAAAAAAACCTTTAATGCTTTGTACATTTGCATTATCCAATGCACGATTAAGACAGAAATAGAAAACTATTTTTCCGAAACCTCCTTTAATTATAATGTTCATATATTTTATAGTACTTACAGGATGCTAATGACAATGTCAAAACCCATTGAAATGCTTCGATGTGATATTTATCTGTAATTATACAAAATAAAGCTGATATTTCCATCGTCGATTTTTCATTAAGGAATAATTTTTATTAACTTTTATATTATATTAACTGATCATACTGATAGTTGAAATCATAAACTATTTTCAATTGAATATTTAATTTAATGTAGATGTCTCTGCACTATATAAAACTAAGGAGATGTTGTATGATTGCAAATGAGACAACTATCAACCCAAGTTCAAATGAAGTGGATGTAAGCAATTATAGACAACCGTACTGCCTTAAACAATGAGAACAGCCCAAACCTATGTTCGCTGATAAAAAGGGTATTACAGATCTATACTTTGTTTTATCATAAATTATGAAGCAAGTACCCTACCAAAGCTTTCTGAATATTTTTTATATATGTGTCTTATTTTCTTTATAGTTTATAAACTGCAAAACATCAACTATATTGTCTTCAAACTACTTGTATAACTATTGATTGATCCTTCTTCTAACAGGTTTCAACTTACAATAGTTTAGGTTGTAGTTGTAGTTGTCAAATTCAATGATCTTAATTTTCCGTGATATATTAAACCTTAAAAAAAAACATATACATGGTTATTGTCGAAGAGATTTGCGCTCAGAAAAATATTGACAGAAATATATAAAATTCAACTGTAATGATGTGTATAACTCCCCATGATTGCTGCTCGCAAGGAAGCTATAAAACCAAGAGTTCCAAATGGTGAAGTTGAAATCATCCCTTCGTAAATTTTACGGACGCCATCACGAGTTGGTTGACCGTTATGGAATAACCGTTTCACAGATGATATCGGATATGTTCCTTATGTCGTTACTACAATACCCTTCCCTTTTCACGAATGTGACCTACCGAATTAGACTATTTACCGGATTTGAAATAAAATAAGCAACACGACGGGTGCCACATGTGGAGCAGGATCTGCTTACCCTTCCAGAGCACCTGAGATCACCCCCAGTTTTTGGTGGGGTTCGTGTTGCTTAGTCTTTAGTTTTCTATCTTGTGTCATCTGTACTATTTATTGTCTATTTGTCTTTTTATTTTTGGCCATGGCGTTGTCAGTTTATTTTCGATCTATGAGTTTGACTGTCCCTCTGGTATATTTCGTCCCTCTTTTACCGCTAACAAAATCTGAATTAGTTTTTATCGACGTTTCTTTTATGAATTACACAGAAGTTAAAGTATGTAGTTTTTGAAATTTCAGGAACTTTTCGTCTTGAGAATAACTGATGCACCTGTATTCATTTTGGTATTGGTATACAGAAATCTAAACTTTGAAATATATATTCATTTTCGCGTCAATTAGACATACTTAATATATATAGATATATGAATATTAATGTATAGAAATAAATGAATATAACAAAGACATGATTCGAGGGATAATCAAACACTAACCTATCTCCTAAGTAACGACTTCCTGTCCTTTTCGTGTCATCGTAACATTTGATATCTGAGAAATATAATTGAGAAACTTGTTTTTCTTATGAAATATTTGCACTTCTGTGGGTGGTGTACACATTTTTTCCGTCAGTTGTAATGGTCGGTAGCAAATTAGTTTGCACACTCTCGATTAACAGCATATATACTAAAATTCACTTAATTGATTTCATTTCAACTATAACAGTGTATTGTTTTTTTGTTGTTTTTTGTTGTTTATTCAAGTTGTTAATTATTTTATATTTGTATGATACTAGTACGTTTCTTATTAAATCAGTGTATAAATGTTAATGAGGCATGATTAAAAAAAAAACAAGCTCAAATCTATATAAACAACTTTTGTGAAACATTTACCGACAAAAAGTTAACCCAAAGAAAAGATATAAGAATTTAAAAAAAAAACATTCAAATTTAATAAATTGTTAGATTTAATCTAAAGATGAAATAGTTCCTGTTTGTTGTAAAGAGTTTTTTTATAGAGATTTAAGGTTAATGAAGCTTAAGTCAATGGGCTGCTAAACTTTACCATGTCGCTTTAATAAAAAAAAACAATAGAAGATCTTTTAAGCATCATCAATAAAGAGACAGCTCCATGGTTTTTTGAAATATTGATAGTCTATAAATCTGGCAAAAAAAAATTTGTACTTTACCGTTCAGTCCAACCGTTTTGTTGTATTGGTTTATTCCGAGATAACAGGAACAATCGTCAGTAGAAGGATTGCAGTAACATTGGTGTTTTGAGTTCATGACAAAAGTATATCCTCTATCAGTATTACACATACATTTTATGTCGACCGTAGTGTTGCCGTATTCATACGTCTCTTGACCTATGCTGTTACAAAGTGATTTTTGATAGGTGCAGTCACTGTTTCCAATTGTGTAAAAAATGAAAGGCTGATATCGAGTTGCACTGCATGTTGCTTTGTTTAAGTTCGGCTGAAAGACGTATTTATGACCTGCAAATGTTAAGTAAAGAAATATTCAATGAACATGCGTCTCAAATTTCTTGATTAATGGTTACAATGTATATAGTTTAAGTTATATTTCGCTGGATTTGTCACTTCTTAATCCAGATAAATGCACTTAAATACATTCACAACAAAGTTACTTCTGTTACACCGTAATAAATAAAAACGACTTTTATTAATTGAAGAAACTTTCTTTTTTAAACATTTTCATTATTTGAAAATAAAGTTATTTTTTTACATAAATAAAAAAAAACGTTCATTGTTTGCTCTAATAAAGCTAAAAAAAATAAAAAAAATACATACTATTGTATTAACAGGGAAAACTTTTAGATATCTTCTAAGACTTACCACGATCTAATATTCTAGGTCTGTTACATATTTCTCTGTATACATTCACTCGAAAAGTTATATCAAATAAGCAAGTATAATTTTTTGGAGGCTTACACATGGCTTTTGCCCGAATATTCCAGTGTGCCTGTGATGGACAGGTGAAGTTGTAGGCTTCATTAAAGGATAACATCTAAAAAAAGATAAGTGCATATACATCAATAGTTTAAGCAAGTATTCCATCAAAATTGTATTTTGTTAACACGGACGCACAGTGTCGATTGTTTGTGAGCACGTAAAAAACTCGCCAAAAACAACAGCCTTAGTATTGTGTATGCCATACGCGCGTTTAGGCTAATTAAAACTCACCAATAATGATGGTAGGCCAAATCAAATACGAAGTTGTACGGATAGCTGTTGGAAATTATTTGAAATAAAGGAATATATCTCTCTCATGCAAGCTCTGATTCCTTGGCCGGCTTTCAGCTATACTTTAATACAAACTTTAAATACAGAACATTTGTGCCAATTACAGATAAGGCAGATATTGTTGCCTTTTATTTGCAGCCTTTTTAACTCTTACATAATTTTTTTTAATCACTATTCCGACATTTGAAGTGTTGAGAAAATTGACCTAGACACATATCTGAAATGTAGAAGATAATATATTTGCTACTGAATATGAATGTAAAATTTCCGGGAGTTCATCTTAAGTTCAAGGATAGATTTCTTTTTTTGTTTGTTTGTTAAACCTCGTCTCATTTCAGTTCATGCAACTGAAGATAAATGACGAACACGATGGAACAGATTACTTATGTCTAATGATTGGACAATGTAATTGACTCCTTCCAGTTGAATACCATTTGATCTTGAACGGTGTTCATGATTGGTTGTCCAGAAAACAATGCAATTGAAGTTACAATCCAATCACTTAATTTGACAATATCGTGTTGGTCCTAAGTTAGTGAAATAGTATTAGTTAATTCTTCAAATAAGTAAAATCTTTTGATATGCATAAGATCAGGCCTAGTGTCGAGCTTGGGACTTTATTGTGGCCTAAAACTGCTTTTTGTTCAATTACTTGTTATGGATACATTGTAGTTTGATACAGACAATACAATTCCGGGAGGAGAATCTGCGACGCACTGGGGGTGTAAAGAAATATCTGAACGTAAACCAAGCAACAATCCTTGATGATTTAAGACTGTTTTTGAACACGTGTATATATTCATAGGACAAAATGCCACGCTCACACTGTCATATATTCACCTTGAATGGACCAAGACAACATAACGAACATTTGTACTAAAGTTAAAAGATTTGATGGTTAAATACTTAAAAGTAAATTTTATACTGAGATGTACTGGTTTCACAGTTTACATTTCTGTCATTAGGGAACCATAAAATCGGGGTAGAATCGTTATTTGGAATATGATTCAAAACGTGTACGACCATTTAAGGCCAGTTTGTGTAATTACATACATCTTTCATAGTCTATCAGAATTATTCGCCCTACACATATGTTAACTTACATATATATACGAATTGCCCCGTTGTTGTATTAATGTTCAGAATGTTTTATGCACGCTTCAGTATGACAGTACATGTTTGATTTCTTTGCAAGATTTAATTTATAGATATTACTCCATAGTTTTGTTCTTCAATTGAGTTGTGGTGTGATCGTCAGTTTTCAAAGAATGCCATTCAAACCTGTGCTAGGGGGTGGGCGTCTTAATCTTGCAGTGAAGTGAGGATGTTTTTGCTCCGTGTGAAAAGCCTTATTGTGCATTTGAGATGAAGAACAGCAATAAAGACGCTGTTCCATTGCTTTTCGTGTTTTTTCTTTTTTTTTATGCTGTGCATGTACTGATTTCGTGTCATCGATGGATTATTCCACAGCATTTTTTTTCTACTACGTAAAACTGAACATATGTACTGAGTTCAATTTTGATGTGACAACTATATGAGAAATTTCCTTATTCCGAAACAAGACGGAGATACAGAAAATAAAACAGAGGTGTCAGATTTAAATCACACATACCTATAGGACAGTCAGAAGGATGAACATGTCCATGATTTTTTTCTTCATTTATAATCTATGCCATCTAAACAGGTAAATATTAAACAAATCTAAGGTTAAGATATTGACCATAAACTGTGCATTACAATGCTTAATAACCCACCCTTTTGCTATATAATATTGCATATTCTTGATGCACGGTTGGTCAGTGTCAAGACGTTTGTTATATTTTTATTTCCTTGTAAATATATCTTCAAATTATTATAATCAAGAAAACAGATGTCCTTAACATTGATCTTTGTGTATACATACGTCTTGTATTTTTAAATGCATTAAGAAAACATATTTTGTTCTGTCTTTATCAATCTTAACAAAAGAATAACGATTTTAAATTCTTCTGGTTTATGATAACATATCAGAATTTTACACAAATGATAATGTGATCCTACAAAAACAATTATGGATATATAAATGGCAAACGTCTTTGATATAATCGTAATTCATATATAACCAATAATTGTTTTCAACGTTTAAAACTTGTATTACAAATATAGAGATTTATTGTGGAAGCATGTTCACTAATGCAGAATTTCATTTACCGTGCAATTACGATTTTATATGTAAATATTCTACAATTTTTATCTTGAATATTTTACCCAATTTTATACAAAACTGCTCAAACCGGTTTTTTAGAAGAACGACTGAAATGTTACGGTCACAATCACGAATTGAATGACCGATATGATACGTCGATATTTCAATACTCTAGCAACATGCTGCGCGGTCTTAGTTCTTCAGATATCAGAATAATTGTCTAAATGTGATCTTGTCGATTGTGACAATTTAAGTGCTTGTAGATTCGCATGGCGGGTATGTTTCCTTTGAAAATGGCGCTTTACTGTCGACGCACATGGTTTTGTTCCATTTGAAGTTCTTGCGATTCCCTGCAAGTTTTGTTTGCTACCATGATATGTCTCTTTTCGCTTATGTACGAGATTTGAACATCGGAAAACTACTGTCGTTATTAATTCACCGATTTATATATGAATGGATTCGTATCTAGTTGTGATGATGTTTCATCGGCATTTACCCAAGTTATCATGATTTTCACGTGATTTTATTTTATAAAAAAAAGTACATAAATTATGTTAACAACTTGCACTCTTTGTATTTCTTTCACTAATATTTCTATTTTTTGTTGACTTTTCTTCGAACAGAAAGTCAGTATTCGAAATTTTATAACAAAGGAAAGCCGTTGAAAACAAGTTTATCTTAATTTAGTAATTATAAATATAAAGAGGGCGGGTGCATAGTATCGCTTAACGAACGATTTAACAAAAGGGTACAAAGTAAAAAAATGTATCAATAACGTCGCTTGAAAAATTAATCGGTTTTTGTTAGTCATATTATCAGTATCAATTTATTGCACATTCGATTAGTTCGTTATAAATAAAATTTTACATCAATTTTCTCAAAATCACAAATATAATTCAGAAAATGAACGTGATCAATACTGTCTTTTTTGTGATAATTTGATTTATTTCTAATCATCAGTTATTTTTCCCCTTATTATTCTTAAAGAATATAGGACTCACATGTTACACGTGACAACGGTTATCCTGCTATGGTGTAGTTTTTAAACAATATTTGAAATTATTTGAATACATTGCAAAGAGAGTTTAATTGTCGGTACTTGATTTCGTCATATTTAAGAATACCTGAGGACATTTACAATCAAATCAATTTGTCAAGATTGAGTTAACATGTTTAGTGGAATCGTGTAATTATATTTACTAAACAAATATGCTAACCTGAAACTACTTGATCCATTTACAAATTTAGATAAAACAAAGATGATGAAAAAAAATGCTGTATGTTGTTTTGAGTAATTGGCTTGAAAGTACAGAGTGTCTATTGTGCAATATCATCACATATTCATCATTGTTGTGAAATGTTATTTGATATAACTTCAATTTTAACACAAAGGATACTGCATTTAAACTTAAAAGTGATATTCTGTGATTCATTTGAACACACTTCAATATTTATAATTGTTTTATGTATATGTATGTACCTTATATTGTGACTCATTTTCAATAACTTGTTGTATCTAAAATAAACATTTAAACAGGATACCTGATATTTTTCAATAGAAAACTGACAGACCATGCAAATGATGTTTGAACTAAAGCTTGAAGTCTTGTATTTAACATTAACCTAAATAAGAATTGTAAAATTGTAGTTTAACAATTCGAAAAAATGATTTAAATATCGTGTTCAGTATTTTGTTATTTAAGTAAACTTTTGAATGAATGCATACGGAACGATAATGTTCATTATTTATAATCCTAACAAAGGAGTAATGACCCTACATGTTCTATTTTGAGTAAAATCAATGAATTTTCTTTTTAAAATGTGTCTAAAACTACAGTACCCAAAATAAAAAAACAAACTATGGACAAGAAATTACCAAAGTTTGCCAACAGGGATACAGGCATACCTGTGATCACAGATACAGTACTGGATTTTAGTAGTAACAGTCTAATGACAAAAAATGTAAATATATACAGTCGTTTTTACGAAATTTGAACATCGGATAAATACTGTCGTCTTTTATTCATAAATACTTATTTATGATAGAAATTGTATCATAAGTTATTGAACGGAAACGAAATAAAGTGCCAGTTTCTAATAATTCAAGGACCATAACTCCTGAACGTTAAAAAATCAAAATCGTATATATCGAACTTAACCTCCATTTTGTCATCAGTATCAACATATCACAATTTGAAAAGCATTGGTTGATCGATTCATAAGCCATTTCACGGACACTGTTGGCAGCCGCCAGTTTCCAATAGATCAAGGGACATACGGTAACTCCTGAACTGTAAAAGTAAAAATCGTCTATATTGAATTTTACCTCCATTTTGTCATTAATATTAACACATCAAAATTTGAAAATCAATGGTTGAACGGTTCATAAGTTATTGCAGGGAAACGGTTGAAAGCCGTCCGCCCGTTTTTTTCTCCGAAAAACCCCAGTTTAACTTAGGTTTTTAAGATAGATAAAACGTAGAATGACTATGTTTAGTAAACTAAATATGCTTACCTGAAACTACTTGATCCAGAGTTAAACAAGACAAAGATGATGAAATGAATGTTTTATGTTATCCATTATAAGTTTTTGAATTGCAAGTACAGAGGGTCCATTGTGCAGTATCATCCCATATTCATCACTGTAGTGAAATGTTATTTGATATTACTTCCATTCAAACACAACAGATTCAACATTTGAACTTTAAAATGATATTTTGTGATTCATTTGGACAAACCCCAAAATTTATAAGTGTATGCTCTACCTTACATTGCGACTGATTTATAATAACTCGTTGTATTTTAAATAAAAAATTTTGACAGGATACCTGATATTTTTCAATAGAAAACTGACAGACCATGCAAATGATCTTCTAAAGTTTGAAGTCTGGTATTTAACATTGACCTAAATTAGAATTGCAAAACTGTATTCAAAAAACGTATAGATTTTAAAGTTTAAATGTCTTTATTTTGTTAGTAAAGGAAACTTTTGAATGAATGCATAAGGAACAATAATGTCCATTATCTATAATCCCAACGAAAGAGTCATGAGCTCACATGTTGAAAATAGATCATGTTATAGTTTGTGTAAAATAAAAGATTTTCTTTTAAGTTTAAAACTACCCCCAGCAGGCACCTGATGTTGTACAGACGTTGATGTTTGGTTGAAAATACAATGTAGGTCGTAACGTCGGCGACTTGAATTCAAAGTCGGCTGACAAACGTCAGTCTGACGATATAGAACGATGTCTACATAACTTTGCTTTTTGATCGCGACCTTATACAACATTGTACAACGCCACAACAACGTTGGATGCCATATGTGGGTCGCATCTAAATTAATCTAAAATATTGAAATCACACGTACATGAAAATAAAGTTTTAAATTGTATATTATCCTTTCATATTAATATTTATATATATGCATCCTATTGTTATCTAAAATAATAATGAACCTTGAAATAAAGTTTAATTTAGCCCTCTACTAAGATGAATAACGTCGAACAAGCCTTTTTCCAGTGTTTATATTATATTCAGATTAACACCACCCCCTTTTTTCAAGGTACAGTCGCGCCCCTTTAGATGACGCAATAACATCAATATACTATTTAAATTATTCAATTGATAGTTTTTAATGTTAATATTATAATCGGTGTATTTGTTATCTTTCATGCAAATAAATAAATAGGTACACACGAGTGTGATGTGTATGCATAGATAATTGATAAATATGTATTTATGTGTGCGGTGTAGAGACTATTTGATAATCTAGTTCACGGTATTTCTATTACGTAATCACGATGCATAGGATTAAGGACGGAACTAAAATTTAATTTCATTTGAAAACTAGGCTCAAACCTTGTGGAAAAAGTAAAGATCATTATCAAGATTAATTAAAAAGTTAACAGTAAAAAAAGGATTGCACACTAATCGTACAGTTTCATGTTTAATTTCAGTTGATCGTTTCCTTTACTATAAAGAAAAGGCATTCTAGGAGTAAAAGATGGAAAAAAAGGGGTGTCACCAAAATGAAGAGGAAAAGCTTTTTACACAATCCTTGGTGTAAATGATGTCTTGTGACCCTAAAATAATGTTTTTCTGCTTATATTTTTGGTTAATGATCCTCTTGAAATGTCGGTTTGGTGGGATGGCAAACATGTATTATAGTAGAACCCAGTCAAGATAAGTTATGTCGCCAATCTGTTCACAAATGCGGGCCCAGAAAAACTCGAAACCAATAATAAGTCAACTCGGACCGTCTATAAAATCAACTCGGATCGACTATAAAGTCAAATCGGACCATTTACAATGATAACTCAGACAAAGTCTGTTAACAGGTCAACTCGGACCGTCTATATTTATTTACTCATACAGCTTTTAAACAACAGAAATGAAAATAAATTTAAGGAGAGTCATTCAATCTTCAACAATAGACATACATATATGTTAATACAAATTGTCCTGAGTCTGTTATCTTTAATTGTCTCTTCTTAGACGGCCCGAGTTGTCTTTTACGTCAATTATAGTTAAAACAACTCTTCCTTTATTTTGCGCATTATAGAGGGCCTGAGATACACAGTTTTTATCGTCGAAAACATTCATTAAATTATTTATATAAGTAAAAATTTATCTTTGTCTAAATTTGTATGATAGGTGATCCGAGTTGAATTGAAAGACGGTCCAAGTTGAATTGATAGACGGTCCGATTTGAATTGATAGACAGTCCAAGTTGAATTGATAGACGGTTCGAGTTGACTTTATAGTCAGTCCGATTTGAATTGATAGACGGTCCGAGTTGAATTGATAGACGGTCCGAGTTGAGTTGATAGACGGTCCGAGTTGACTTATTGAAGGGTCCGAGTTGTCGCACACCCGCTGTTTACATGTACAAAAATGTAATGTATCCCTATTTTTTCAATAGATCTTTTCACTAATTGAGAAACTGTGGCACTTGATGAGCATTTGAGACACGCAAACTTTTGGCTTCATCATAGATATAAGAATATGTGGTATAAGTGCCAATGTGACAACTCTCCATCCAAGTCAAAATTTATAAAAGTAAACCAATGTAGGTCAAAGTACGGTCTTCAACACGGAGCCTTGGCTCACACCGAACATCAAGCTATAAAGGGCCCTACAAATAACTAGTGTAAATCCATTCAAACGGGTAAACCAACGGTCTAATCTATATAAAAACACTTATGAACCACATCAACAAACGACAACTACTGAACATCAGATTCCTGACTTAGGACAGGTGCAAACAATTGCAGCGGGTTTAAACGTTTTAATGGTACCAAACCTACACCCTTATCTCAAACAATAGTGTAACATCACAACATAGAAAGACAAACTATAAAATATCAATTGAAATGGCTTAAATCAATCAAAAGACATATTAACACCAGTGAACATACACTGAACAAATAACATTGTATCTATGATACAATGTAAATACAAAATAAATAAACAGAGTGAAGAATAATTAAAGTAACATGTTATACCGCTGTGAAATGTTAAACAATTTAAGAAAAACAATATGATTGAACAAAAATATCAGCCATTTGCAATTACTTTAAACACAGGTAAATGAAAATAACTTTGTTGTTAGGTATACGTGTACAGTTCAAATGGAGAAAGGAAATATTTTTTTAAAAATAAATAATTTTAATGTTCAAAGTACGAAGAAGTGAAAATTTATAGTAATACCAAACACTTATCAAAGCTGGTATATAGATCAGATATAACCCTGAATAAGTAGACATTAAATAACAAAAAAGCATTACAATTAGTATCAACAGGTCAAATAAACAAAAAAGTACGATTTGAGGGTACTCGCAGTTACTGACAGCTAGTTAAAAGCCAAAAACAATTAATAATAAAAAATCATGCATCAGAGACTAAAATCAACTAAAACACATCCCAGGGATCTAGTATTTTAACGTCATGGACAGTCAAAGAAGACATGACTTGTGCAATGCCAAAAATAAATGTATCGACAGGCAGTAGGATAGTTAGGAGTTAACCGCTTATGTTTATACAACAATCACTTTAATTTTCGGCGTCCGACATGTTCTCTACCATGGTATGTGCAGGTGGTCTTGTGACATCAAAGTTTTACAGGAACATGCGTGATATCAAGGTAGTGTTTTTATCCTCATTTGAACCTCAAGTATAGACACAAAATAGGAATACATGCTTTTGTTATTCTGTAATGTATTACATAGCAGAACAAAATGTCAGAGGCTCATAAGAATAGATGTTAAAAATGATGAGTATACATGAATTGTACGGTTTTTTTCTTACATGAAATTAATCTTTTTTTATTAGTAAATGGAAAAACACTGAAACTGTGAATGACCTTAGAAACAATAAATACCTACTCGTTCGATTTTCTCGCCCTGTTCATGGATCCTTACTAATATAACCAATATTCTTTTTTTCAAAATCCGACGACTACCAACCGCTTTATACTTAAAGAGTGTATCGGAAAAATTCCTCTGATGTCTTCGATCACATCATCATGTAGTACAATGGTGTAGTGCCATAGATATATGTCAAACCGTTAAAGACGAGTTCCGTTTAATGCATATGCATATGCTCAGACGGAATGACAAATAGACAAACAGACAAACGGACGGACGGACGGGTGGATAGTGGATCCAAAACTTTGTATGCAGATGGGGGATAACAATGATAATATTTTTTTTTTTATGATTTGGGAACAGGGAATGTGTAATACTCGGATATATTAAGATTTAAAAAAGACCACAGTTAAACAGAAACAGTTATTACACAATTAAGTAAACTGAAAAAAATTAAAATAACAAAAATACAGAACTCCAAGGAAAATTCAAAACAGAAAGTCCTTTCTCAAATGGCAAAATCAAAAGCTCAAACACATCAAACGAATGAAAACAACTGATTTTCCTCAGCTAAAGTGTTAAATGTTAACCTAAACAAGAAAATGTCAAACGTTGGCAAGAGATCGAAGGGCGAAAAATATTTAATGAGAATGAAAAGAGTTATCCAAAGACAACAGAACATATTTTAAACATACGACATGTCAAACTTAATCCACAACTTAGCCATACTATCCATTCAGAGTTCATGTTACTGACAAATTTCTTGTTGAATGGCACACAATAGAAATTATAGTGTGAAGAACATTGTTATAGTACGCTTTACTTTTCGATTGCATTACAATGAATATATGTATATGTTAAATCGATGTTTCCTGTTAAATAAGTTTTATGATAATATTTTATTCACAGTTTTTATTTTATGTTACTCGTTACAGACACTATAACAGCAACTTCAGTTGGGTGCAGACCAAGCATTACATGTAGACGGGCGGAAAAAGTTAACGCGGCGTTTACTCGCGTGCACTTCATGTAAACGCCGCGTTAACTGTGCGTTTACTCCGAAATTTCAGTAGACATAAAAAGTAAACAGGCGTTTACTTTCGCGTTTACCTCCGCGTTAACGCAAAAACGGCGCGTCTTCTAATTTTGTAAAGAGTAAACGGGCGTTTACTCTCGCGTTTACTTCCGCGTTAACGTGAAAAAAGGCGCGTCTTCTATTTTCGTCAAAAGTAAATGCACGTTTACTGTTTGTAGTAATTAAACGCGCGTTAACGCAGATTGTCATCGTATCCTGGATACACTAACCTTAAATATTAAATGATAAGGTACATCAAAATTAAATGACCAACTGGTCATTTTCGATTGACATATTGACGATTACATTTAATTAATAATGTTAAAACACCTCTTTAATTAATTGAAAATTAAGCATACTAAATTTCTTTTTCTTCACAGATA